TAATAGTAGATCAAAAGAGAATGGGCAAGGTGTTAGAAAGGGAAGAGAAGCAGTTACTTAATGTAAGCCTAAAACTAAATGAAGCCCACTCGGCCCATTTATTCATCTTTTTTATTGTGAAACGCCGTCGTTTTGGATTCTTTTTCCTCATATCTAAATGCCTCCTTCCTGGTGGCTGGAGGACTCAAGAGGAGGGAGAGGTAGGAATACACTGGAGCAAAGGAGACACGGTGCAAGGACGATTGAGGAGGGAGACAGGTACTCGTGATTGAAGGGGCTCTCGGAGACAACAAGAGGAGACAGAATACGCGAGCAACGAAGAAACAAGCGACGCGCGACAATCTCTGGGCGCTGACAGCAGAAGCCTACGGCGAGAGTAGAAATCCGAGGTTTCGAGGTCGATTTAAGGAGGGCAATTTTAGAGGGACAAGAGGGGCGTCAGACGGAAAATCGAGGGCTAGAGAGTGGAGTCGGAGAAGTTGAGAAATAGTGAAATCAAAGGTGATTTGGGGAGACGGTTTTTCGGTTTGGTGAGCAAGAAGCAGAACAGAGGAGAGAGTGAACGGGATAGGAATAGAAGAACAGAGCGGTTTTTTTTTTTTTTGGGTGAGGAAGAAGAAAGGATAGTTTTCTGGGTTTTTGAGGAAGATTAAGAGGTTAGGTTTCCGAAGAGGGACTTGAGTGAAGGAAGAGGATTTGGCTGAAGGTTTTCGGTGTTGAGGAAAGAGGATTATAGAGCAAGTCGGAGCCGAGTAAGCTGGAGGGGAGGTAAGTAAATGTACTTTCTTTTTTCACCTATTTGCTTCTAAGTGTAGTTGGATTTGACACGAAAGAAAGTGGTTCTCACTTTTGATACTTATGATTGATTGCATTGTTAGAGTATGAAATTACTGTTTAGTTTTCTTCTATCTTTCTCTTTCTGTTTCATTTGCTCCGCACACTCATTTTACAGTGGTAAATGGGTCTAGCAGGAAGTCGCTTTTTATATTAGTTTCTTGACTGCACTAGTCACTTAAATGTTTTATTGGAAACATCATTTTATTAATACTGCTAGCTAGATGCTGGCTCTAGTTTGGATGATGGATCTGAGTTGGGTTAGCTTCCCCTTTCAAGTTTGAAACATATCCTCAATTCAGATTGTTTATATATATATATATATATATCATTGTTAACCAGCTTATTATTTGAGTTCATGTTTTGTATTATTAATAAATTTATATTTATCTCTTGTTTACAGTTTGTCTTATTGACTTGGATTAATTGGCAAGAGAATGGGTAAGTTATTTCGTCACTTGCAACAAGACTTTGAAGAAATTTTCTTTGTTCTTTTTAGTCTCTTACTAAGAGAAAAAGTTGTTTTCCATTGGGATTCTATTTGCAGGTAAATCACGTCATGAGAAGCGAAAAGAAGCTCGAGTAGAGAGGAATAAAAAGAAATACGATTCTTGGCTCGAGCATCAGGTAAGAGAAATTTTTTCTTTCGGTACAGTTCTCTCTCTTTCTCTCTCTCGCTCTCTCCCTTCCTTAGTTTCTTTTTTAATGTTTTTCTTTAGATAATATTAGTATGATGTATCACAGAAATATCAAAAAGCAAAGAGAACATCCTGCGATTTGAAATTGAAAGACATGAAAAACTTTGACTTCTGTAAAGGAGAAGTTATTGAACTAGGTGATAAACCTATGGGAAACCAACTGATATCAGAGCAAAATGCGTCAATAAAGAACGTTAAGGATAAACGGGAATCTGTTACGAAGCATGATTCATTTGCAATGAAGACAACAAAGAAAAAGAAAGTTTTGAAGGGAATGAGAACAAAGTTTGAAGAGTTTCTTGAAATGGATAAGCCAAATGCTGGTTTATCTGCTGAGGAGGATTTGAAACTGGAGAAGAAGCTTGCGAAGAAACTCAAGGTGAAAGGTGGTAAACTAAGGGGAGAGGAGGATGAGATCAATGTGTTGTTTGAAGGCATTGCATCTGCCCTTGATTCTTCTACTGAGGAGCTCAACGCTTCTAGAAAGAAACATAAGAAGAACAAGTCATTGGAGCAAGATCTGGAAGGTGAGCTCGTAAATGACTTAATAGTTGATATTTCTGAGCCAAAGGGATCAGGTGGGCTTAGAGTCTCCTCAAAAGAAATTCCTGTGGGGGAACCTTCTAAAAGTAGGTGCAAGAAGAGAAAGTTATCTCTGAAAGGACACGTAAGCAAAATGCCAATTGACACGACTGCTAACTTATCTTTACATATCGGAGTCTGTGGTGCAAAGGTGGAAGGGGATGAAGTTCACATTCCAGCTAAGGCCCCTCTGCTAGAGGATAGCATAAAATATCTTGCTCCGCACTTGAGGTCTCGTGCACAAAATGAATCGGAAGATCTTACACAAATACGAAGACGGGTTCGAGGTATGAGTTAAACATGCTTAAATATTGCCATAAGCCTTCAGCTTGAAATGTGAGACCATTGCATTGTTTATTTTACAGGTCTATTGAATAGGCTGTCTGAATCTAATGTGGAATCAATCGCGGGGGAGATGTCCTCAATCTTTCGTGTATGCTGAAATACCATCTGTGGTAACTTTAAATATGTGTATGTTTGTGTATGTGTGGGATCAATCAGTAGGTAGATGTCCTCAGTTGTTTGTATTCTTAAATACCATTTCTGGTAACTTTAAATGCTTCTTTTTTTTTTAAATAACTTTAAATGCTTCTTTGGCTTTCCACATCATTTTTTCTTTTTGAAGGATGACAATATCATTAATAGATTTTAAGTACTTGCTACCTTTTATACAAGATATAAGTTTCTAGGATTGTCAATGGAATTTTCTCCTTTACTTTTGCCAATAAGACTAGTCTGAGAAGACCTTTCATCCCTTGGATGGAAGTTCTTCAGCACCCTGAAACCAATATAAATTTAACTATATGGTTTATTTCCTTTGGTGTTGGGAGAGGAATATAATTCATAGTTTCCTGACTCTGTATTTTATCTTTTTACAGTCTGTTACTCGCAGTGTTGCTTCTCAGATTTTTGGTGAGGAGATTTTGGCATCTTGTTCTGGTGGTCCACGTGGCAATGAACAGTTAAGAGCTAACTTCTTTTTACATTTATGTTGTCTAACTTTTCTTTACTAAACTGATGTTCAAACTGACAGAATATAATGGTGAGTTTGTGAATCATTTTGACAAAAAAGGTTGTTCTCCCTTTTCTTCACATCTCTTTTGTTTGTATTTTTTTTGAAAAAGAAAAATATATTTTTTTTAAATCTTCGATTCTTTTCTGTTTATGCGTTCTTAAGCTGGCTTCACTCATCAAATTTTGTTTTAAGTGATATTCTAATTCTTTTCATATGTTGTGATGCCTCCTTAATAATTTGTTTTTGCCAATCCAACCTTACTTGACATTTGGCTGTTGTTTTGAGTTTGCATCCAAAACAGTACTTTAATGGATTTATTAATTTGATATTTGATTTTGTCTTCTACATTTTCAATGATGGAAGAGCATTCACTCTCTCGCTTTCTAAGATTCTATATTTCTTCCTTCTGCACACCAGACCCTTCTGTTCTGCCTTCCCTTTGTCCTCATTCCTGTCTCGTCTCTTCAG